TAAAAATTTCCCAATAGTTTTCAAAAGCGCCGAGAAAAACAAAAGAAAAATTAAGGAAAAACGGGTATTTTTACGCAAAATCGGTTTTCCAAAAAATCGATTTTGGTTTTTGGTGTACCTCTAAAAGAAATGAACGTATATACATGACATTTTCACCGGTTGTTTATATTTGCATTTTATATACACGATAACATTTTCAAAATATTTTGATTTATTTTGAACTGTTAATTGACATTTTCATTTTCCATCTTTTTTTTGTTTTTTTTCTAAAAATATCAATAAAATTTTATTTGTTGGTTGCAAAAGCTTGAAAATTTAATAGAAGGCTCCTAGTATATTGTTTCAAAGGCAGATGAAAAATATTAAAAATCCTTCTTCACAATTTTTTTTTATAAGCATTTAAAGTTCAAAAATTGACAAAATATGGAAAAATCACGAAAATTAGCAAATTATTTTGAGTTAAGAATTCGTAAAAATTTTTCTTTTTAAATCTAAGATTTGAAAATGTGATACAAGATTCCTTATAAGATTATCTACCTTTATCAAAAAAAAATTGTCTATAAAAAAGTCAAATTAAATTTTTATGAGCATTTGAAATTCAAATTTTTTCAACATTGGATATTCACTCGATTTCCCATGTAGCGATTTCCTTATTTTGTTGTAAATCAAAAACGAATAATTGTAGATACATGAAAATTTCACTGAATGTTTATATTAGCATTTCCTATACACCATACGATTTTGAAAATATTTTGACTCTTTTTGAGCTATTTACGGACATTTTCAGTTTTCAATTTTTTATAGTTTTTTTTCTATAAATATCAATAAAGTTTTATCTGTTGGGCCAAAAAGTGTAAAACTTTAATACAAGGCTCCTGATATATTGTTACAATATCAGTTGAAAAATATTAAAAATACATAGACACAGTTTTTTCTTATAAGCATTTAAAGATCGAATTTTGACAAAATTTATCAAAATCTCGAAAATTATCAATCATTGTAATTAATAAATTATAAAATGTTCAGTTTTTATAGCTAAGTATTAGAAATTTAAGACAAAGGTTCTCATAAATAGTTTATACTGTAACCAAAAAATTTAAGAAATATATGAACACAGTTATTTTTTACAGACATTTTAAACTCAAATTTGGACGAAATTACATATTAAAAAACCTAGAATAACTTTTTTAGTTATTTTGTTGTGATTGAATAATATTATTCGTGGGTACTTGAAACTTCTAAAGTGTACTATTATATATCTCTGATAGTATCACGGTTTGTTGTTGGTGTATAACGCGTTATAAGTACCAAATGGATATTGTGATATGATTAATTTGGAATTAACCTATTATAGGTCAAATTTTGGTTTAGTGCCATAGATATTATGTATATATAATAAGTCTTATACCTAGACTGACATACCGTCTCCGCTCAGAATCGTTTTTCTTATACAATGATATTATATCGTTGAATTCAAATTTAATATCATCCAATATACAGTGACCCACTTGTAACCTACTGTACAGCAGAGCGACACCCACTTGCCTACCTTTTTTTAAATTAATTAATATTTTTTTCTTTCTTTTTCACTCACTCACGTGTACCATTCAAAAGAAGTTTAACTTCCCGCGCGCGTACTGGTAACACACATACTTTTTTTAATTACTCCAAATTATTGTAATCCAATACGAAACATTTTTTAATATTGTGGAGGTATGCTAATTGATAAAATAATAAAAAAAAAATTTTTATACGCATTGTCCGTATATCTTAGTTAGAAATAAAGTTTGTATTTACCATAATTTTATAAATTGATATCAAGCATAACCATACATTATATATTTTTTAAAGATAAAATAATGCATACTAAAAAATCATCCATTTAACCACATGACAAAATCATTTGACCGCCACTGGCACATCGCGATGCATTGTACACATTTTACTACCTCGAGGAAAACAGTTTGCTCATCGAGATTTTGACAAATGAATAAATAATGAAAAATAAACAATCTATCTCTGAATAATATCTAATGCATCTTAGTAATAATTAATGTTTAATAGGTTTCAAATTTCAATATTCAATATGAAAATTTTAAGTTTTAAATTAATTTACAACAATTGTTGTATTGAAAATCGATGAATTTTGTAAAATATTGATTTATTAATCAGTATATAAAATAATATATAGTTATACAAATTTAATGAAACAGTGCCTATAAAGTCAATGATAATTAGCTTTGGTTCAATAATAATTAATAACACAAATAGTAGGATGCATTAATAAAAATCACAATTTATTTTTTATAGTTTGATATTGCTAGTTGTTTTTTTAGCTTTATATTTTCATCATAAGAATTGTAGACTTCACAAACTTTAAAAGAAAAAAAACCATAGCACGCTAAGCAATATTTTTCCTCTACAAGTAAAGTCTTTGAAACATAAATACTATGTTTTTGTTAAAAAGTTAAAATCAAAACGAAAACATTACGAAAAATCAGTCAAATTACAAAAAATGTGTATCCAGTACAAAAATATGTTAAAAATGTGTATACAGTTTGTTTTTTACTCCAAATTCTTGTAATCCTATACGAAACATTTTTTAATATTGTGGAGGTATGCTAATTGATAAAATAATAATACTAATATTACAACAATGAAATTACGAGAAAATAGGGTTTGGAAACGGTCAAATATATTTTTAATAATTTTCTAGAAAATACATTTATTCCATGAGTTATAATAATTATATACCTGCTAACCTGCCTATAATTTTTTATACCCATTGTCTGTATATCTTAGTTATAAATAAAGTTTGTATTTACCATAATTGTATAAATTTATATCAGACATAACCATACATTATATTTTTAAAGATAAAATAATGCATGTTAAAAAATCAGCCACATCCCCACATATGACAAAATCATTTGACCGCCACTGCGGCACATCGAGATGCACTGTACACTTTTTACTACCTCGAGGAAAACAGTCTGCTCCTCGAGATTTTGGGCTCTACAGTTCCTATATGTACGTTTTTATTTTTCGCTCTCTTGCAGTGTCTCTTATTACTGCAGACAACTACGGACTGTTTTAAACTAAAATTCAAAATATATTGTCATCGGATAAATAAGCCGGCCGGACATATGCGAGGAAGTATTGGATATTAAAATAGTGAAGTATTCACGTTGTCGACGTCAACGTTTGACTATATAGGTACCTACCTACTTTGATTACATTCAACTATTCTATACTTGCATACGGGCGTACATCTGTTTATAGAAAAATGTAATCACATATGAATTAAACGAACTTTTTTGAGGGTAAAACCCACACATTTTTTTTTTACAACGGAGAAAACATACATAGGTACAAACTACAAATGATTACTATACCTACTTTAAAGTTCTAATAATTATGACACCGCCTGCCATACGAAATGCCTGTCCACTTGCCTGTATAGTTTCAATACCAGGCATTGGATATCGAACAAGCATACCTGTAAGTTCCTATAAGAGTAAAAAAAGATGAATATATTATATAAACTATACTTAAATTGAAAGTGGGTTCCTTTTTTTTTTTTTTTTGTTTCTGTCATCACCTTTTAGGACAGTAAAAATACGTAGATTTTCTTCAACAGTAGGTATCTTTTATGATAGGAAAGTGAATCTAGTTGATACTTTGGCGGATCAAAAGTAAACATTTTAAAGTAGTATTCAAAAGCGCCGTGAAAAACAAAAAAAAAATTAAGGAAAAACGGGAATTTTTACACAAAATCTGTTATCGAAAAATAAATGTTGGTTTTTGGTGCAATTCTTAAACATATTAACAATATTTATAATTCTTAAACAATTGCATAAAAAAAAAACCTAGAATAACTATTTTAGTTATTTTGTTGTAATTGTATAATATTATTCGTAGGTGCTTGAAACTTCTAAAGTACACTATTATTAATTATACTATCTATGATAGTATCAGAGTATCAGGGTTTGTTGTTGATATATAACGCGTTATAAGTAAATTATGGATATTGTGATATGATTAATTTGGAATTTATTATAGATCAATTTTGTTTTAATAAATACCATAGATAAGTATATAATATGTCTTATACCTAGACTGACATACCGTCTCAGCTCAGAATCGTTTTTCTTATACAATGATATTAAATCATTGAATTAAAATTTAATACCTTCCATTATACAGGGATCCACTAGTAACCTACTGTACAGCAGAGCACCTTTTTTTATACGCATTCTACTGCAGAAAAATATTAACTAATAAAGTTTAATAACAAAAGCGTTGTCTCGTGTTATTTAGGTAATAAAAACACATTATCGTGAATAGTGATTTCAAAAATTTTTTAGTATAGATATTAGATGGTAACTTTTTTAAGTTTGAAATGTTATCAATATTTTTCCTTTTTTTTTTTCGTAAAACCACCGTGAAAACGATAAATCCATAAATACAAATTTTATAATAATATCATTGTTTTTTTTTTTTAATATACCTAACAATATGCGAACTTCTTCATATAGTAATGCGTAAATTGTATATATATGTATTCGCATGTTATTTCAAAATACTTAAATCTTGTACGTTTTTACCTTATTGGAGTTTTTGTCCCGAGAGTAGTGCCATGTATCCAAATTGTATCCACTAATTTCTCATACCCAATTTATTGGCGCCAAACTTAACAAAAGTCAAAATAATAGGTTATACAAATTGGAGCGAATCATTTGTCCCGAAAACGTGGTTGAGGAACACTTACAAAATTTTACAATAAATTTAAAGTGAATTTAAAGTTATTTAAAAGTGAATAGTGTACTTAATTTTTTCATTTAATCATGGAGTTAGACGACGTTGAGGCCGTAGCCGTAGCCTACACTTAATATAAACGCCATCAAAAAGCAAAAAAGCAGAAAAGTTACAATAGGCGCTATTGGGTGCATCCAATTAACCTGAAGAGGTTTCAAGAAGGACAATTTCAGGTAAATTTTATGTCATTGAGAGCTCATCCAGAAGAATTTACTAAGTACTACAGGATGTCTATCACAACATTCGATGAATTAGTAAGAGAAAAAATAAACATTCTTTTAAAAAAGTTATACGTATACAATTTGCTATATTATATATATTATATACTACTACAAAACTACATTAGTACTTGTTTAGTTTAATGTTAAAAATATTATATTTTATCTTTGTATTTTACTTTTTATATAATTTATAAATATATTTTTTAGATTTCACTTGTTAGGCCTTATCTCACAAGACAAGTTACTAATATGCGTAGTCCAATATCAGAAGAAGAACGATTAATCATAACTTTGAGGTAAGTAAATAGTACAATGACACGATGAAATAATAACATTAATATTTACTACGATTGACAATTAAAAATATTTTATAAAATGTATAATATACAATGTAATCAACTATTTTACTAAAATATAAAATTCGAGATATAGTCTCTAAAGTCTTAATTGGATTTATGTCATTACTTTTTTATGTATTTACGTCTTTAGATATTTAGCAACTGGAACGCATTTCTCATCTCTGCATTTTGAATTTCTGGCGGGAGTGTCTACTATAGCTATGATTGTGCGGGAAACTTGTGAAGTTTTATGGGAAGTATTACAACCTAAAGAAATGGCGGAACCGACAACAGACGACTGGAAAGATGTTGCAAAAGGTTTTTTTGAAAAAAAAAACGCAATTTCCAAATACTGTTGGCGCCGTGAGTTTATCTGTTTGACAATAAATTTATATTTTTAATATTGTCGATACAATTATAGGTAGCTAATAGTAATGTCAAATATAAGTGAACTTAACGATTACAACAACAATTAAGTAATAATATCAACTTAATAGAGGGGTGTAGGCAATGTATTTTTAAGGACAGTTTACTGGGTGACGAAAAATATTTTCTTAAAATAAATAGTCAATTATAATATGATAGAAGTATTTCATGTTCGCCCCCTATTAATAATTGAAAAAAGGTGGGTAAGTGGATGTCGCTCTGCTGTACAGTAGGTTACAAGTGGGTCACTGTATAATGGATGCTATTAAATTTGAATTCAATGATACAAAATCATTGTATAAGAAAAACGATTCTGAGTGAAGACGGTATGTCAGTCTAGGTTTAATACAAATTATATACATATCTATGGTATTAAAAAAAAAATTGACCTATAATAAATTCCAAATTAATCATATCACATTATCACAATATCCATTAGGTACTTATAACACGTTATACATCAACATCAATAACAAACCCTGATATTATCATAGATATATAATAGTCCACTTTAGAAGTTTAAAGTAGGTACCCACGAATAATATTACATTATAACAACAAAATAACTAGGTTTTTTAATATGTAATTTCGTCCAAATTTGAACATAAAATGACTATAAAAATAAACTGTGATTGTATATTTTTTAGATTTTTCGGTAAGATAATTAACTACTTACGTGGAATCTTGTTTTAAATTTTCAATCCTTAGCTATAAAAACTGAACATTTTATAATTTATTAATTACGATAATTTTGAAAAATTCTGTCAAAATTCGATGTCTAAATGCTTATAAAAAAAATTGTGCCTATGTATTTTTAATATTTTTCAACTGATATTGTAACAATATATCAGGAGCCTTGTATTAAATTTTTACACTTTTTGGCCCAACAGATAAAACTTTATTGATATTCATAGAAAAAAAAAACTAAAAAAATTGAAAAATGAAAATGTCCGTAAACAGGTCAAAAAGAGTCAAAATATTTTCAAAATCGTATGGTGTATAGGAAATGCTAATATAAACATTCAGTGAAATTTTCATGTATCTATAGTTATTCGTTTATGAATAACAACAAAATAAGGAAATCGCTACATGAGAAATCGAGTGAATATCCAATGTTGTAAAAAATTGAATTTCAAACGCTCATAAAAATTTAATTTGACTCTTTTATAGACATTTTTTTTTTGATAAAGGTAGATAATCTTATAAGGAATCTTGTATCACATTTTCAAATCTTAGATTTAAAAAGAAAAATTTTTACGAATTCTTAACTCAAAATAATTTGCTAATTTTCGTGATTTTTCCATATTTTGTCAATTTTTGAACTTTAAATGCTTATAAAAAAAAATTGTGAATAAGGATTTTTAATATTTTTCATCTGCCTTTGAAACAATATACTAGGAGCCTTCTATTAAATTTTCAAGCTTTTGCAACCAACAAATAAAATTTTATTGATATTTTTAGAAAAAAAAACAAAAAAAAGATGGAAAATGAAAATGTCAATTAACAGTTCAAAATAAATCAAAATATTTTGAAAATGTTATCGTGTATATAAAATGCAAATATAAACAACCGGTGAAAATGTCATGTATATACGTTCATTTCTTTTAGAGGTACACCAAAAACCAAAATCGATTTTTTGGAAAACCGATTTTGCGTAAAAATACCCGTTTTTCCTTAATTTTTCTTTTGTTTTTCTCGGCGTTTTTGAAAACTATTGGAAATTTTTACTTTTGACCCCCCAAAGTACCAACTAGATTCACTTTCCTATCAGAAAAGCTACTGTTGAAGAAAATCCAAGCACTTTTACTGTCCTAAAACGTGATGACAGACACAAAAAAAACACACATCATTGTAAAATCAATAGGTACATTCATCGTTTCACTCAGAATCTAAAATGAGAAGAAGTATCCGGAATTATTTATTATTGATAGTTTTATTATTTTTTTTATATTTTTATTCGACAGATTGATGGATAATTGTTTGTAGTATTGTTTTTATCCAGACGATAGATTTGTGAGTGAATAATAATAATAATAATAATAAAAATAAATAATAATCGATCATTAATTATTCATATTAATTAGTATGGCCCGATTATAATATATAATATATATATATAGATATTATAATGTATAATAATACAACACTAAAATGACGATATTTATTTATTTACGGACATGTACGCTTTCGCGTTCGTACGGCCGCCCGTTCGCTTTTTTTTTTCCTCACTACCCTGCGTAATGAAGTATAACTTCATAAAACTGTATACACATTTTTAACATATTTTTGTACTGGATACACGTTTTTTGTAATTTGACTGATTTTTCGTAATGTTTTCGTTTTGATTTTAACTTATTAACAAAAACATATTATTTATGTTTAGGAGACTTTACTTGTAGAGGAAAAATATTGCGTAGCGTGCTATGCTTTTTTTCTTCTAAAGTTTGTGAAGCCTACAATTATTATGATGAAACTATAAAGCTACATAAACAACTACCTAGCCATATCAAACTATAAAAAATAATTTGTGATTTTTATTACTGCATCCTAGCTCAAGCCTCAACACATTTTTTTTTAAATTGTAATTTTTAGGTACATACTTTTAAGAACGGTATCTGTATTTATTCAATTAAACATAGTACAATAGTACAAACATAGTACATTTATATATTTATATATATATAACATTATTCAATTTTATTCAAATAAATAGAGATATTTAATGTAATTGTATACGCCTCTCAGTTTTTTCAAAAATATTTAATATTTCTTCATTATTGATAGGAATGTCTTTTTCTATATTCAAAATACTTAAATTGCTGAACCTATCTTGATTCATACAAGTACGCAACCATGTTTTTATACGTCGCATAGTAGAAAATGATCTCTCACAGGTCGCTGTACTTACGGGAAGAGTAACAGCTACTTGAAACATCTTACAAAAATTTGGAAATACTTTACCATCATATAATGTCAAATGCTGTTGTATTTCCTCTAAACTAGAGTTTTCACCCAGAATGTTTTTTAAAACAGACATTTCAGACATCAGTGACTGATTACAAATTCCAAATAAATCCTGAATAAATATTAAACATTAGTTAAATGCTTGAAAAATAATAATGTATTTTACTTGTACCTTGTAATGATCAATTAAAAATGAAGAACCTTCATAATTCAATTTTAGTAAACTATCTACTGATGAGGCTACTTGAAGGCTTTCTTCAGAAAACCTTGTTTTTAAAATATTTATCATTGTATCTAATATACAGTAATAAGCTTTCTTTTTCCAATAGCTTTTTTTCGTTTCTACAATATCTGCAGTATGATATTATCGCTAGCACTAGTTGTTGACATACAAACAAAATCTTTCAGTTGAGGTGGCTCTTTTCGTAATCTTTTCTTTGATACAGCTATAACAAAATAAATAAATAATTATCAAGTATAAATTAATTCAGTATTTTCACATTTTTTCTTACATTGCAAAGGAATTTCAAGAGAAATTTCATATTTAGTGCTAAATTCAAGCGTTTCATTCCAAAGTGTATCATAATGTTGTTCAAAATCACGATGTTCTTGTAAAGTTGTAATTACTCCAATTATTAAAGATTTAGAATTACCCAGGGTTGCTGATTTTGATTGTAAATGGTTTGATAGTATATGAATAATTTGTAAGACTTCCTTTAATATGAATAAATATACTATAAAATCATCAGACTTAATTGTTGAAATAATACCTAAAACAAAAAAATATAAGTTCAATATTTTTCACTGAATAATAAAATAAAATATAGTTGCCATTAAATTATATAAATCTACATAAATCAATACCAATTGCTTCAGCGACATCTTTATTTTTTTGAGCATCAATTTCCTCTTTTAAAGACTGAATTAATGCACCATAATTTTGTATGACTGAGCTGCAACTTTTAAAACGACAGGCCCATCTTGTTTCACTTAACTGAACTAATGATGTTTTTTTTCAAACCAAGTTGATTTTGAATTTCATTGAATTTTTTATTTTTTGAAGGATATGAGAAATGTATATATGGCTTCTAGTCCATTAAATAATTTTCTAAGATCCTAAATAAACAAAATAGGGTTTTAATTACTATAAATTATTAATTGGTACTAAGTAATAAAACATTTTTCAAACAAATAATAAATAATATTATTACTTTCAAATATTTGCATGTGTCCACAATCACTAAATTTAATTTGTGAGCCATACAATGTTTGTATATAGCGTATGGATATATTTGCTTAAGTTTAGTTTGGACACCTCCTTTCTGACCAGACATTACATTTGCTCCGTCAAAAGACTGGCCAACAATTGGAATATCAGACAGATTACAAAAATGTAAAAAGTCGATAATAGATGAATATAATGCATCTGCATTTTGACTATATGATACATCAACAAATCCTAAAAAACGTTCTTTTACCTCTAAATTGTTTGTATAACGGATACAGATAGACATTTTCTCTTCTCTATGGGATCTGTATTCAAACACATTGATATTTATTATTTTAAACATCATTCTTAAAAATATTTATTTTTATTTACCTGGCTTCATCACATGAAATGGAAAACATGCCACCCTTTTTAACTTCAGAAACAATATTATCTCTCACATATGAAGCACAAATATTTATCAAATTATTTTGAATGGCCCAGCTAGTATGGTTAGTTGAGTTGAAAATATATTTTTTCTCAAACTCAATATGATGTTTTGAAAACAACATGCACAGCTCTTTAAAATTACCTTAAATAAGAAATTAAAATATTATACTTAATTTTTAAAGGTAAACAAATCATTAAAATCACAAAGCATATTATTTATTTATCCTTACCTTTATTTAAAGCATCTTCATTTTCACGATGACCCCTAAATGGAAGTCCCTGCCGTCCAAGAAATATAACAATGTCAATTAAACATTTAATATACTGCCGATTTTTGTCAATGTGCTCGTTGTTGGCTGTTGATAATTTGGAGATGATACTACCTTGTTTTAAAGAATTTTTATATTCTAACCATCTTGACATACCTACAATTAATGTGATTAATTGTTGAAGCGTGCAAACTTAGTTTTGATTTTTTGGTCTTTGAATCTCTTGATCCACAAAGCTATAGACGATTAGATAAAATATATTGTAATTATTATAATTATAATTATATCTATGATTTTATCTATAATAGGTACATAATTTGGTTTTAATTTTATTTTTATGTTTGAAATACATAGGTACTTCAACTTCAGACTAATTAGAATCTTAATAAGAATAGTTGACAGTTGTGCAACTTACTTTTTTCCAGTTATTAAATCCTATTACAGTAAATGTATTTTCCGTTTGACGAGCTGCAGTTCCAAAAACACGGCATGGAAAACAAAACACGCTATCTTTTTTAATACTATACTCGAGCCAATTAAACTCACTAAAGTAAGAAGGTGTAAATCCTCGATTTTGACTTCCAAATTTTGTCTTAGGATACACCTTTTTAAACATTTTTTTAAATCTTATTTATAATATAAATATACGCATATAAGTTGTAATTAAAAATCTACTTACCTTTAATATTGGCTGACGCGGTCCTGAACTTAAATTACCCAAATCAAGTTCATCATCTATAGGCACATCGACATCATTTAACTCGTTTTCGTCATAGTTTTCATCTGCAGTTATACTTTCAGTATTTATTGCAGACAAAGGCGTAGGCGTATGTTCCGGCACATTTAGTTGATCCGAGTTTTTTTTTTTATTAAAAATACTAAACATTTTGTGAACAAATGTGAACTGGACAATATATTTTAACCGTGTCTGTATGCCGACTGTGCCGGTAATCACTATTCAGTATGAACATGATACACGAACAAACCAGTATAATATTCGTTTGGAGCTATTTAAAAATATTTTTGGTTTTCCCAATCATTGGCGATTGGCCTACGTGACTTATCACTTATCAGACGTCACCGTCACTATCATTGTACCGTTCACATTTTGTTTAATAATAACTATATAATATTATTTAGACATTATTATACAATACATTAATACTACTGTAGTACTGTCTATTAGTAATATTGTTTATTGTAATATTATTTTATTTTATAAAAGCAATTTTCTTATTATAGTGTTAAGAAAAAATGTTTAATAACAAAGAAAAAATTTAAAAAAAAACCGGTAAAAATAACTTATTAAGAATAACATACATATATTATACTATTATTTGTTGCGGGGGCTTTGAGTGATTTTGGGGGGGGCTAAGCCCCAAAAGCCCCCCCCTATTTGCGCCACTGGCTGTGGCTCCACGTGACGCCGAGTTATGTCGTACACTAGACTTAACAAAATACAATAAATTGCTTAAAATTTCATTTGGATTTAAACTTAAAACAATAACGTAATATGCGCATTCCTAACGCATCAATAAGCATTCTATGCGTTGGTCGGAATTTGCACTGGTATTGTAATAAGATTGTTGAAATGCTATTCTACAAAGTATAATATAATATGGAGGAATAGCACTAATTGTAATTAACTTTAGTTGACAAACAATACTATTACCATAAGTCTATATATAGCTACATTTTTATGTATATTTTTGAAAACAAGACGGGTTTAGGTACGACTTATATACATATTTACGTGTACCTAAGTCATCAAGTATTAAACTAGATTTAGTTTATTTTATATAGGTACCTATTTTAAAAAACAATGAAGTTTATTTTTAAAATAGATTTTGAGATTTAAGACGGTATTATATTAGTAGGTATCTACTATATAGGTACATTTTTTTTTTTTTTAGTGAACAAAAATTAATATTTATAATCTGTATTTACACGTTATACAATAAGTAAATTTGATGAGGTTTGATTGGCGACACCCCATGTAACAGTACATTAACTTATTTGTGTTTTTTTATAAGAATTGAACAAACTGTATTAGGTATTCTACATGGCTTTTATGAGGTTTTATGTTTAATTTAAATCAATTGTGTAGGTACTTACAAAAATGAAAATGTTAAATTTCATAGTTTGAGAGTTTAAGAGTCCTGATAAATCAATTTCAAATATTGGTACTAACCGGTTGTGAACATTATTTTCATTACATTTTTGTAAGTGGGTATATAAAAATAAAGAGGGTGTGTAGAATATAGAAATCTTTGCTCCATAGATAATAGTATAATTCAATATTTCCTATTCATATTAACGGTTTAGAATAGCACATTTAGGGTAGAAATAATTTATTGAAAATTTGTGTTTGGATTGTGTCCTCAACCGATGCTGGACCAGGAGTGTCAAACAGGAGTGTCAACAACAATTGAGTGGTGTCCTAACGGTGTCTTGTAATATAATATATTATTATATGAAATATGAATATATTTTTTACAGTTCCGATTAAAAACCACGTCACAAGTTTGTCCCCCCAGCAAAAAAAACATATGGATTTCTGACTTATAATATTTAAGGCGTTGAATCTAATATTATGCATGCCAAGTATCTGATTCAAACATGTATAAAAAATTGATTATCAAGTATCAACCATCACCGAAATTGTCGAATTTAACGTCTAAACGTAATAGCAGTAAATAACGTAATAACATAATGAGTATCTTAGGATAGACAAGCAATTTAGAATTTTAAAATACTCATAATTCACTTTAAAACTAAAATATAATAAAAAGCTTATGAGACGCCCTACATAATAATTTTACATAAAAATTTTATAAGAAGTCAATTCATTCTAATTATTTAACTAACGGAGCTATAACGAAAGCTGCTGAGCATACAATTTGGTATGTTACTCACTTGTAAGACAAATATCCGTGTAGTACTCTCTTAGAAGTATTACGTTCTCATTGGGACCAGTTAAAAATCGTATTATATGGGTGATGTTGAACGTTGTCAGAAACACGGGACTAGTAAAAATGAGCGTATTAGGAGGAATATTGTCTTACACGGATTCTACTGTAGGTACTATAAATCTTTGTCTGTATTATGCTATCCATGTCTGTATTGTGAAATCTATAGTATTTGGTACAACGCTGAACGCGAAGTCGTTTTTATTTTATTTTCATAAGCTGTAAAGTGTAAAGCAGACAACTATAATGCATTGATTTCGGGACAAGTAAGTTCGGTATTTATTTTATATAATATTATATAGGTACATTTGTAATTTGTATTGCATTATATTGTGGTCAACACGTACATAGTTGTGGTTGTTTCATTACATTATGTTCAAAAATTTAACAATATATATAGGTATACCTATTTGCGTAGTTGGTCTAGAACAGGGATGTCAAAATAGTAACAAGTATCGGCGTGTCAAAAACAAAATATTTATAAATATAGTTTAGGGGCTCCTCGAAATTTCGATTTATTTTTTGACCTACGTAATTCGACGAGCTTAGAACGATGGTGCAAAAAATAAATTTTCGGAAATTATTAGTTTTGAAGTTATAGAATTTCAAAGTTCTCGATTTTCGGTGTTTTATTCAGGCGCTCAAAACTCGTGTTTCACTCCGGTGCTTCGCGGCCCGGCGCTGCGGTCCGTCGGCCTGGAGTCTCGTTCAGGTCATCGCCTCCTTGGTTTTCCTCGTTCCAACGCCTGTCGAGCTCTTTCTTCTTCCTCCTTGAGGCTCATTAAGGATCTCGACCATCTTGTAGAAAAGGCGGAGCCTTTCGCCAGCCTCGGCCAGGAGGATGGCTCTATCCTCGGGGTCCGCGGGGAGGACGTCGAAGTCCGGTCCGCACAGTATTTCGGGGAGATCGGCGGCGGTTGGCTGGTCGCCGAGCCGAGAGTCTAGTTCCGCGCGGTATCCGGTCCAATATTCGCACGCAAACATTGTGTACTCTGCTGTGTCGGAGTTCCCAGCATAGTGGTTGCACGCGGCGCTGGGGGCCCTGTCCATCCTCGCCAGGTACTGCTGAGAGCATCCGTGGTTCGTCAGCGCCTGTGTCATGTGGTACGACGAGGGCACCACCACCACCGTTCTCTGGATCCACCTCCTGACGTTGGGTATCACGCGGCGAGTCCACTCACCTTTCCTGCTGCTTTCCCACCTTGTCTGCCAGAGCGTGAGGGTCGCCTGTCTCTCCTCGCGCTTGATGACCGCTTTCGAAGGGCGGACTGCCCCGGGGTCTTGTTTTGCAGATAGCCGGTCTCTGATCCTCGTCCTTTCTAGTGCCACTAGGTCCGCCGGTGGCATGCGCGCCAGCAGCAGGGATGCCTCGTCGGAGACGGTTCGGTAGACCCGTATCACCCAAACTATATTATTACCTAGACTCATATCTAGGAACTAGGTTATTATTAATATTACACAAAATATAATATGGTTATCACAGTGGTTATCACATGTTATCACAGTGGTTCGTCTTTACTCTTTCGTACTCGTGTTTTCTACTGTGTGTCCGTTTAGTGTATACTAAATGTGTATTACTATTATACAGTCGGTGTCTTTACTCTTTGTAATACCTTGCCTATTTTGTCTATTTTAAATTTTCACAATAAATTACTATGTCTAATAAAAGAAAAATGATTAGTTAATTTGATGCAAGTTGACAGTTGTTCTACTTCTAAACGCTAGGCGGATGAAAAAAATAAGTAAGATCACTAATATCGTTACAGAAAATCAAGTTGTGGACTTAGCGGTAATATTTTTACGGTTCATCGTGGGGTTATAAATTTAACATCCAACGAAGTACTGGACGAATAATATATTTATTAAGTCTGTATATCTAAGTTATTAATAAAGTTTGTATTTACCATAATTTTATAAATTTATATTAGACATAACCATAGATTATATTTTTAATGATAAAATAATGCATGTTACATAATCAGCCATATTGGGGATATATAAACGGTTTGCTCCGGGAGATTGTGTGCTCTACAGTAAGTTCCTATATGTAAGTTCGTTTTTATTATTTGCTCTCTTGCAGTCTCTTATTACTGCAGGTAACTACGGACATTTTTAAACGAATATTCAAATATATTATCATCGGATAAATAAGCCGGCCGGTGTTTTTCGAGTAGTTACGTATTGAATATTAAAATAGTGAATTGTTCATGTAGTATTACGTTACGTTAGGTAGGTACCTACTTTAATTAAACATTCAACTATTTGCTACACTTGCATCATACGGCCGTACATCAGTTTATAGACAAAATGTAACCAACTATGAATTAAACAAACTTAACGCGTAGAATAATGATGGAGAGGTGGATACATTTTTGATACATTTTAGGTACTATACTGGACAGGACGGAGGACCCGGAGGCAACCCCGGTGACTAGTAAGTCTTCACGTGGGCGGCCCAGTCGCTTTTTGGCCACCACGTGAAGAGGTGGTAAACGCATGCTCCTGTATGCCGTAGAGATTAAAAACTTTAAACCTGTTAAACCTTTAAAGTTTACTTCCCCCCTCCTTCCAATTTGAAGATCACTAGACAAGACGGGGGTGACGGGGGAGTGGTACGTGAAAGAGCACTTTACGGTGTCCGGCGGTAAGTCAAACTATACTTTGTCCGGCCACCTGCAGAAAGACGAGATCGCAGTCGCCAGCTTCACGCGGTCGTGGATCACGAGAACATCAAGACGACTCGGCGCAGACTCGGCTGCTTCGGTCATACCAGGAGCGGTGGACAACGACGAGGGCGGTGGCTAGCTGTACCAGCGTGGACAACCTTACCACGACGATGGCAGAGTGCACGAAGACGACTCGCAAAGGCGGCGACGGTGGATAAATAAAAACCCAAAGAGCGAGAGTACAGCTGTGC